CAGGGCTTCGAATGATTCACTGTGCTGATTTGATGTTGTGAGCCACAGTCACTCAGCACCCAGGTGACAGGCAGGGACACTGCTGAACTCTAGACCATACGGGCCTCTGTGACATGTTAGGGAACCTCGCTTTGTTGGTAAGAAGATGTCTACCCTTGGTTATTGCAGGGGTTTCTGTTTGGGACAGAGCCAATCCACAAAAATTTGACTTCAGCAAAATCTCACCCCACTGATCTAACAGTAAACAAGACCAAAGGGAGCCCCAGAGGTCTGAACTTGGAAACAGACCCTCAAGATCAGTTTCCAGAAACAAGAGGCTTATTTTATGCTGCACTCAGAGAGAGAGAGAGAGAGAGAGAGAGTACTGAAAGGGCTGGTTTTGTAGTAGAGAACCACGTGGTGAATTGAAACTCAAACCCATCCTGGCTCAGTGGGATGAAAAGGAAAGAGTCTCTGGGGAGCTGCTACCTGGGAAGTGCAGGCCCCGGCCCAGGTTGCAGAGGAGATCAGCACCTCCAATGGCCCCAAAGGGAAAAAGAAATGTCCAAAGCACTCTGTGAAAGTATCTTCCCATTGACACTGGGCCTTCATTTCTCAAATCTGGATGATCTCTTTCATGCCCCTTCAAAATCATTGGCTGTTACCAGTCTTGCCAGCCAAAAGGCCTGCCCCTGTCAGCTCCTGGAAGATGTTTCCAGACATGTGAAGTTCTTTAAAAAGTCATTTCCTTTGATTAACAAGCCTTTTAGCATCATTTTGAATTCTCTGTAGATTGCTCACCCTCACGGTCACATTGGAGGCCGAGGGTGCAGGGGAGGGAGGGATGGCTCCCGGGGCATGTTCTAGTCACGTAGTTCTGAATTCAGCTAGCAAGGTCATTGTTCCCTTCATATATACCTTCTGGGTCATGCTCTGACCAGTAAGTATCCAGACTCTCATCATAGCTGCTTTTTCATCTAACACGCCTATGGCTTCCCAGCTGCTCTTCACACAAAGCCTAAAAAGTCTGCTAAGGCAGACAAGGTCTGTCAGACCCCACAGATTCAGGCATCTGCCCCAGGCCAGCACCACTCCCCCTGGATCATCTAAGCTTGGATCGCAGACCCGGAGGCTGGCTGCAGCTCACTATCTGCCCACAATCTCACACTCTGCACCCCATAAGACATTGAAAGAATGATCAGAGGCAGCTATCTGGAGGACAAGACAGAAACGGTTGGGAATGTGATCTGGCCAGTCAGACACCAAGTCAGGACACCAAGTGGGAACCTGGTGGCCACAGGCCAGGAGCTCTGCAGTGGGTTTCCATGTCAGTCACTAAAGCCCCCAAATAAATGCACAATGGCAGGGTTGAAAGCTGGTGGATGTAATTTTTGGGTGCTTGATGCATTCTATGTGAGGGCTGTGGCAGCTTATACAATCCACAAGGTGCCTTCTACTACTGCTTCATATGGTGCTCTGCCAGACTGCTTCTACCATGAGTGCTGACCTCTCCTCCTTGTCTAGCAGGCAGCCACTAGTCCTCAAGGTCCCAGCATGGTCTTCATAGGCCTACAGACCTCAGCCACTTGCCTTTCCCTGTGAACTGCCCTCCCTGGGGTTACCAAGGCAATGGCCCTGAGCTCACATCCCCAGGCAAGCTTTATGACCCTTTGGTGTGTCAAAATTCCCCTTAGAGCTCCAGGACCCCTCATGGGTATCAGAGGCTAATTGATAGATAATACAGATAATTAATCAGTATCTGCTTCCCATGCTAGAAACTCTATGGGCAGAGCCATTATCTGCTGTTTTGTTAGTTTGGTTTGTCATGGCTATATTCCTGAAACAGACTAGATGGTCCCAGTCCCGACAGATGATGCTCAGTGAATAGATGTGAAATGAATGAACAAAGCCCATTTTCTGATCCCCTGACTGTTGCAGGCCTCACTTCCGCGATGAGCTAAGGAGCCCTGCAGCTCTGTCTTTAGGAGCATAAATGACCTCTGTGGTGGCACCAGGGACAGGAACAGTGGAGCCCACACCCCCAGGGCCACTTCCCTGCATAGTTGATTCTGTCCCAGCCCATTCTCCCAGCATCACCCAGATAAATTGACTACCTGCTCTCCCCAGCTCCCACACATGGTATCCTTTATGAATAGATTCTTCTCGAAAATGTTCAAATGAGAAGGGAAACAAGGGAGGAAGGAGGCAGAAAGGAAAGAATGGACAAGAAAAAAAAGAATGGAAGAAAAAAATGGAAACAAGCCTTTTGTAGATAAAGAGTGGAAGGGATAGGGGAAAGGAAAGAAGGGAAAAGAAAAAATATGAGAAAAGAAAAAAATGGAAGTAAGGTCTTTGTAAATAGGGAGGGGTGGAGGGGGTGAAGGGAGGGCAGGGGAATGGGGAAAAAATAAGAACCAAGATACATCATGTAAAGGTACAAGATCCTAATGCTGAATGTAACTGTATTATATACCTAAAATGTACCAATAAACAATGAAAATAAAAAAAGGGGGGGGGACATTTAAAGGAGGGAAGGAGAATTGGAAAAAAAGAAGGAAGATATATTATGCATGGGAAGAAATTCCCTATGATGAATGGTATCATTATGTATATCTCCAATGTACCAGTAAAATAAAAAATTTTTAAAACGAGTATATTCTTCTTTGAGCTTCTTTTGATGTTCATTGTGTCTCAAGTCTATAAGCACAAGGGTGATCAAAAGATATAGTGAATGTTTAAAATTTTTAAAAACTTATAACAATAAAAGACACATTGCCAATAATTATGGGATAAGTATATTCAAAGTGAGGGGAAGAATTTGGCATACTTTGAGGACATTCAATGACAATGTATAATAAATGCTTTAATTTAAACATTCACCATATTGTTTGACCACTCCTCACTGATCCATAATTTATGACAATATCTGTCAAATCAAAATATTATAATGTGTTCTCATCCCCCTCATTCTCCAGATATGGCACCATGAAACTTTTTGCTCTTCCTCAAAGTCAAAATGACTCTCAAGGTAAATGTTTTTAATCGATTTAGGACATCAAGGCAGCCACAACTGTGGAACTAAAGACATGAAAGCCTTTCAGAACTGCTTCAGAAGGTGGCAAGAATGATGGGATAAGTGTGTTTGAAATGAGGGGGAGGATTTTGAGGGGGATTAATTGCAATGTGTCTTTTACTGTAATTTTAAAGAAATTAAACATTGACCATATTTTTTATCGCACTATATATAAAAATTGTGGGGTAGGTGAAGATGAGAGGAAATGGCGAGTGAGACAGGCCTGTAGGACCCAAGTCATTTATTTACCTGTCAGAATGTCACTGGTGATGCTCAATCATGTCCTTGTCACCTAACTTCCTAGAACCTTCAGCTCGGTACTCAATATCTCAAGCACATGTGGAGTGTAAAGCTAATAAACTGAATCTGTAAGTGGAATAATATTTTTCCATCATCTGTCAAACATGAAAGTGTCCGTAAAAAGGTTTGTCACTAATACATAAAATAAATCGAAACAATAATGTACCAAGCCCATATTATTCATATCTTGACAACTTGCATAATTCCCATAGAAAGTAAAAATCACTCCATATATAAACGCAGTACCAAAACTTTAAAGAATTGCTAAACCTTGTGTCTTTCTTTGGGGTGAGCCACCCTTCAGTGAGTGGCCTTATCTTTGTAGCCTAAGGAAAATGTTTTATTTTGAAACTGAATGATTTAAAACTATCTCTTCTAAAGTCAGTGAGTCTGTTACGGTTGTTTATTATACAGTTCCGATTCAGGGAGATTAAGGACATCAGTCTTTTTACGAAGAAGGTGAGCTCATCTTAGCCACTAAGATTGTTTCCGTAATGCATAACTTTCCCATGTTGACACAGCAGCTCTACTCTAACTTCACAGATCTCCGGGCACTTGGGGAAGTACATGTATCTGTTCACCCCTGGGCCAAGTTCGTGCCTCGCACAGACCCTGTACTGGGGTAGATCAAGAGTCCATTTATGTGGATCACACATAAAGCTTCAGCCTTGCAGAAGAAAACATCAGTGATTTTATTCATGGATCCAGAACATTTATCCAGAATACATTAGTTTCATTCACATCATTATTCTATTACCACTTCCTTCGTAGGTTTAGTCAGCTAGCCAATTCTATTCCAGCAGGAAATATTATCTTTTTCTATTATATTTATTCACTTATTTTGCAGCCTTTAAGATACCAAGAGTCCTCATGGAGACCACTTGGCCACCAGCTGTTTGGGATATGCAAGCTCACTTTGGGGCCAGGATAGGCACCGGGAAATCCCTGGTTCTGCCTGCTTTCTCTTCCCTGCTTCCTTCCCACCCTCACTTCCACCTGGAAGCTCACTAGGTCTCAGAAGTCAGAATTTTCTCCTTGACTGCTGGAGTTAAAACTGAGACACCATTGCCTTACCATATGTAGAAGGTGGGTGCTGGGGAAAGGCAAAATTCTTGCTCTTGGACCTTACCCAGGGGATTTACCTGAGAGAATTTGTCACTGTGTCTGAAGAAACTCTTCCAACCCAGCCTAATCTTTACCAGTCTGAGACATTTTACCTGCTGCTTCCTTTCCCTTTCCCCCCTTGGACAATGTCTGTGCTGCCCTGCCCTGACTTCTAAAGATAATACTATAGGACATTCCAGTTGCCAGGTCAACAACAGCAATTACTTCAGTGCTCTTTCTCTTATAGACTCTAGTGAGGGAGGGCATATATTTCCTCATAGGGAGGAGGAGAGAAGCAGGCACAATCCTCCTCTTGAAGCTGCATCTCTCCTAGCCGGACAGCATCAGGGCTGAGCCTGAAACATGAGCAGAAAAACCAGATATATCACAGCCCAAAGCACAGTTGGCAGAACAAGTGTCTCCACCCTGAGCAGCAGGCTGCATGGAGATCTATACTTCCCACCACCTGCCCCAGAGACCAAACACAGACACAGACCATGACTGGGGAGCAGGGAGGGGAGTAGCCCCAGTATGCACACCATACCTGCCATTCCCACCATCCATGAGAGAAGAGTAGTCCTCGCCCTCCACAAATGCAGCATTATCTTGGGGGTAGATGGTGTAGTACTGAGGGGGACTTGGCATGGCGCTGGCTGCTCCTCCAGAGGGCAAGAGACCACAAGGGTTCACCATGGACTGCAGGTAGGTGGTGTGCATCCCCATCGGCTCTTGAGACCCATAAGGAGGAGGGATGTACTGCACCACGGTGGCTCCGTGAAAAGTGATGGGTTGGTTGATACCAGTAAAAACGAACGATTGTCCTCCTGATATCGGCTCGGAGTCCGGGACCCTTTCCTCACTGTCTTTGCACAGCTGGCAGGAGAGCATTTTGAACTTGCACACAGCAATCAGGATGAACGTCACCCCAACTGATAGCAGGATGGGTCCAAGAAGCTGGGTCCACTCAAAGTGGGAGACACCTTGGTATTTGATCCAGCCCATGACTGTGAACGTGATCCCCACCAGTCCCAGAAAGATGCCTGAGAAGAGCAAGGTGGCTCCTGCCTTGTCGTCATCAGACACCTGGATGTCAGCGGTACTGGGAGTGTAAGGAGTGAGCGAAAACACATTAAGAGGGAAGTCATCTATGTGGCTGCTGCTGGGCTCCATGGCTCCTCGAGCAGCCCCTGTGTCTCAGAGGGGAAAGGGATGGTGAGAGGCCAGGAATTGCAGGCTCAGTCTAGTTATAAAAGAACTTTAGGCTCCTGTGCTTAACAGAGTATAACAGGCAGAGGGCTGAACTTTGCATAGCCGAATAAAGGTCTGAGAACTGAAGCTTGAAATTTGGTCAGATTGCCAGCAAGTGAGGTCTCTGCATTGCAAGCAACCTATTATTGATAGGCTGTTTCTCTAAATCACATTTATTCATTCACTCATTCAAAAGACACTTCTCAAGCTGCTTTAATGCAAGGAGCTGTTATGCTAGAGCCATGTGTGGCACTGTCGTGTGACCCTATTTTGCCCTACCAAAGGCAGGTTTATAGAAATGGCAGAGCCATCTCCAGCAGCAGAGGAGAACATTGATGTATCTACCATGTTCTTGTGAGTGTAACCTATAACTTTGCTACTGCATCAGCCCATTAGAAATAGGTGGAAACCTACTACATAATTATATGTATATTCCTATCCACTTTAGGACCGTGGGAGCTTGTTGGGAGGCTCTAGCAGAGGAGCACAGTTACTTATATACCCTTGACCAAGGGAATGGTCCTCCTCTATTGCAGGTGGTTGTCCTCTTGGACCTAGTGAGCAGCTTTGGGAGGGAGTGACGTGGAGCAGTGAGGGAGGAAGAGGACATGCACCTAGCCAGCCATATCAGCCAAATCAACCCTGGTGATCAATGAGGTGAGAGATGTTGCAGCCAGATGGCCCTCATATCCCCTATCCACTTTAGGAATCTCTAGTTAAGATGATACTTGTCTTAGTCTTTTTTCTGTTGCTATAACAGAACATCACAAAGTGAGTAATTAATAAAGAATAGGGGTTTATTTCTCATAGTTCTAAAGGCCGGCAAGTCTAATATCAAGGTGTCAAAATTTTGCTAGCATCTTTTGCTGCATCTAACATGATAGCAAGCTTCACAGGGTGACGGCAGGGGGATGTGTCAGCTCAGGTCTCTCTTCTGCTTCTTATGAGGCCACTAATCCCATCATGGAGCCCCACTCTGTTGACCTCGTTTATCCACAATTATCCTGCAAAGGCCATACCTCCAAATGCCATCAACATATGAATTTAGGAATTATGAATTGGGGGTGGGAGAGACACATTCAAATCACACCAATACCTAAGCTTTAATAACAGTTCTCACCACACTCTGAGGTTCCATTCTCTTCTGGCCAGCCCCATGTGCCTTTTGCTTTCTACATGTGGAGAGTAACTCCAGCTGTGGGAGAGGAAAGATGCCATAGGAAACCTTCCTATACCCCACATTACATAAGCATCAAGTGTGACATGACATTCCTGGGACACACGCTCAGACCCTCCCTCCATGGTGACTGCACAGTTCTGGTCCCCAAGGTGAAGCAAACAGCTGCATTTTTTAGCCTGCTGTGTTTTGCAACCAAACCCCAGCTGATTTAGCAGAAGACAGCTTGATCTCTAATGACATGTTCTGTCATTCATGACTATAAAACTTCCAAAGAACCCATAAATTTCCTCCTCCACATAATAGTAACTGTAGGCTTCTTCCTTTCTTGGACAGATTTTATCCAAGCGGGTATCTCTCTTCCACGGTTAAATATTATTCCAGCTCCCTTTCCCAGAAGGCAAGAGTTATATTCTTGTCCAAGGAAGGGCTTTTTAAATGTCTTTCTGATAGTGAAAATCAGCAGAGCCATTCCCACCCACCTATCCCCACTCCATACTCAGCAGGGTAATCAGTATTATGGAGGAAAAAAAAATACAAGGGCTCCTGGAACCTTGTATTTCCCATCTTGGGAAGAGGAAAGATAATCTTAATTTGTGCCACAGTTTCATCTTTTTATGCAAAAGCATGAAGTTGTTTTTGTTCTTGTATATAAGTACACCTATAGGAGGGTATGGATAGATGCTGAATGGCCAAAGGGGTGGACTGTAGAGGCTATTAAGCTATGGTTCCTCACATTCAAGCTGACCTATTTGTATACTGTGCTTTTTAGGGGTGGGACTAAGACTCTCAGAGCCACATTTCTGCTGACAGCTGGCTTGCCATTAAGCATTGCCATAGGTGATATTTCAGTGAGGCTTCAGGGTAGGAGGGAGAGGGATTTGCTCCTTGTTTTATTTCCTATTTCTCTTTTGTCACCCAGAAATATTCCTATGATAGTGACAGTTGGTTCCAGTTTCCAGTTTTTTCCCTTCTCCCAGTCTAATCAGAACCCTCAGAGGTGCTGGTATCACCTGGGAAGGGCCTCCAAAGATGTCCTGATTTCAGCTCCATGACCATCTGCTCCAAGCTCTTGGCTCAGATAACCCAATTGCTTCTTAACTCTAGAAGTGGTAGCATCTTCTTCTACCCAATATTTTCCTTTTAACTTTTTAATCTGCTGCTTAACCAATTCCCTAGATTAGTTCCTCTTTGTAAGAAATCACGAATACATTTCTGGTTTTTTGAGTGGGTCCTATCTGAAGCAGAAATGAAGGAGGCAGAGTTAGTGAGTAGTGGAGCTGAGATGGGGCCTGCGGACTGTAATAGAGTCCTGTTGTAATTTTGTTCTCTAAAACATTAGCATCTCCAGTGCTGTCCTTCCAGATATATGGTGCTGCTGAAGACATTTTCTAAGTTTTCAGATTAACTGGGAGACTAAATTGATAAATCACTACTAGTTTGACATCTTGTGTTTTTTTTCTTGAAAACTCATTTAAATTTTTCATTAATTTTAATTTTTAAAATTGAAATTTATCTATTGCCATGAAAAAAGGTGAATTTTCTGTCTCACCAGTGCAATGTTTTCTACAACATAACATTGTAGAGAGTCCTTCTTCTTTTTTGCTTTTTTTGTTTTTTTGGTACCAGGGATCGAACTTGGGACCTTGTGCTTGTGAGGCCAGCAACAGCACCACTGAGCTAAATCCCCACCCCTAGAGAGTCCTTCTTAACATGCAGATTCCCAGGCTCCAAGGGACATTAATGAATCAGAAACCCTAGATGTGGGGCCACAAATCTGCACTTGTTTTATAAGTGTCCCAGAGGATTCTTAGGTTTATTAAAGAGTGAGGATTCCTGGGGTAATGGTGAGATGCTATTGCATTGAATATACCAACTTGGGAAACTTGTCTAGTGGCCTGGAAATTTCTCTATGTCTGATATCTCAATATTTTTAGAACCAAAACAACCATAAAGGAAGTGGTTTTGCACTGTTTTGATTGCTTCTTCAAGCTAATAACAGGAGAAGTGCCCAGACATGCTGAAGAGGCAGAATGGCACTGTTTTCATATGATCATTACTAAGCATTTGTAAAAGAGTAACTTCTCACCAAGAAGATAAGTCACTGCTGTCAGTTAGCAAGCCTGAAATTCTCTCTGATCTATTAGCCATTCTCTCTTAAATATTCAGAAATATTCATGCATTGGATATTTTGATAGATACTGTGAGAGACTGTGGCCAGGGACCAATAAATACCCAAGTTATGCTGCTCACTTTCCTATCCCTTCTCATTACTTCCCCACAGGAGGCATGGGACAATTTTGCTGCTATGGGATTTGAGCTATAAAGAATCCCCAAAGCACAGAACTCAAGTACACTTGGCTGGAGCACAAGGTCAAGACTGGAGGTCTCCCTTTACCTTGACCTTGAAGTTGAAAAAGCATAGGAACGTGCTTTTTCCTATAAGAAAGCACAGAAAAAGTGATCTGCAGAGAGGGGCAGAGCAGGCAGGCCCTCTGAGGTCAGAAAGATATGGAGGAAAGTTAGTGAGTCCATGAAAAATGGTTGTCTATCTTTCTATCTGTCTAAAGGCCTACCCCCTTAACACATAAAAGAGGAAAGTAGAAAAAAGAGTCACTCATGTAAGTCATCTTTTAGATCACAGCGTGAACACCTAATTTGCGAACAGGTTTGATAAGTCTACAATTGAAACAAAGATATCTGTAAGTATTCCTTCCAGAGAAAAGCTTAAGATTGAAATCTATCTCATTCGAATATATCTTTAGTTAAAAAATGATGAATTATTTTTCCATGGGTAAGTTTTTATTAGATTTAATATACTGTCTCAAATCACTTAAAGTCTCAATGATCAAGTAAGTCTCTCCATCCAATTTTCAATCTTCATTTTTATTGTAGGAATATCACATACAATAAAAATATACAGTTGTCCCTTGCAATTGTTGTTTGAGAATATTTAACATTAAAACTTGAAAAACATTTGTTAACTAAGCCATCTTTGTGAACATCCTTTGTTAACAAGCTGAGTAATTCAATTTGCTTTATCCAGAATTTGATCCTCTGTAGTGGTAGGATAATTCTTCAATATATGAAAATAATAGTCAACCCTGAATTCAGAAAATTTGGCTAAGTTATCAAAGTTATTAGTTATCCATTTTACATCTGCTGAAAGCACATATATTCAATATGCTATTTCCTTTTTAACAAAACTTACTATTTAATTCCCTTAAATAAGAAAACCCAATGGCAAGTATCTTGAGATAGTGTTGGCAATGAATACAGTAGATGCTGAAGAAATCTCAGGATCTTATCTTGTTGAAAAACATCTGTACCAATTGAGCACTGGGACTATCTTTGAATAAAACATTATACCTGGAGGGCCGGGGATTTACCTCAGTGGTTTTGCTGCCTGCTGCGCAAGTGCAAGGTCCTGAGTTTGATCCCCGGTACCAAAAAAAAAAAATTATACATGGAAATTGCTTTCATTATAAATGGGCTCCTCTCAGTTTCCAGCTGCAGCAGGTGTAGAACTAAGTAAGTTAGAGACTAAATGACAATCCTTAAGATGCAATTACAATGACAAATGAAAACTAGTCAACTAAAAGCAAATGCTTAGAAAAACAGCTAAGGTTGATGAACGATCATTTAGTATATCAGTCATTCAATGAGTTGATCTAGATCCATTTTACATGAATAAGAAAAATCCTGTAAATTAATATGAGAAAATGGAAAAATAGGAACAAAATTTTTGTAAATAGGGAGGGCTGGAGGGGTTGAAGGGAGGGCTGGGCAAGGGTGAAAAATAAGAACCAAGAGAGACTATGTAAAGGTGCAAATTTCCAATGATGAATGTCATTATATTGTATACCTAAAATGTACCAATTAT